GGGGGGGGGGAGAGAACGGAGGAACGATCAACCAACCATTCAAAAGTTCATCCTCGCCCGGTAACTCACTCAAAAAGTACTTTTGTTTGCTTATGCATAAATCAGCTCATTCAGACTGGATGGGGTTTATTGACAAACTCGGTTCCATCTGTGACAAATGACAGCAGAAACACTAATCAGCTTGCGGGGTCCCCAGTGGAATGCGCTTGGTCAGATTCATTTAAAGTTAAGGTGGATTCTTTTGAAGCTGAAAAGATGTAGAACATAAATGTATTCTGAAATGCCTATTGCTGATTGCACGGCGTCCCTACAGTTAGCAGTGTGAATAAACTTAGCATTACTTCATTCCAAGATAGCTATAGTGGATTATACATTAGGTAAAATAATGCCTCATTACAAATTAGGGAAATGGCAAGGGTTGACGGAAATAATTTGGGATAATTCTTGAGTCATTCTTATTAGAAAGTATTGCGTTGTTATACTTGATACAGTTTGCGATTCTCATGTTCAGATCATTTATTCTTGGCACTCAAGGTCAGGCACGTTTAATTGACAATCATGCAGCCCAGAAACTACGTACATCGAAGTAGACAAGATATGAATTATTGTCCATACCTTAAGCAATAATATGGGTGATAAATATAATGAAACTCCCTTTGATCATAAAGAAAATATTTTAGTGCATCACAATCGGCTAGTACTGTATTATCATTTTTTTCAAATGCAGTAACTCCGGTTTTATGCATTCGCTTTACACTCGCTTCATCTTCTAAGACATTTGCTATACCGTGGTCTTGTTATTTCCGCATGTATTTATAGCTTAAAGGCGAACGCGTGTTTCATAGATCGATATGGACCATCTCAGGCCCCAACGAAATCCCACCCCACCCCGCTTCGCTCCATTTGGTTACATTTATTATATCAAAACAACGCAATTCCTGCAACAAATCTAGTGAAAAAAATCATCTACAGTACTCCTCCACTTCAGTCGGCTTTAATTGAATGTCTATCTCTTTTCGGAACAAGTACAAACTTTGATGTGCTTGGTACGTTGGTATAGCCTGATCGATCTAGCGATCATGCTTACAAGAGCACTCTACAGACCATGGGATATTTTCCTTCCTGAAACTAAACAGCAACTTTCTGTCACAGTCTGGTTTCTTCCCTTGCCAAGCATTTAATGATAAAATATCTCATTTTATGGGGGATTTCCTTGTGTACAGAGCAAATAAAGCGTGAACTGAAAAGCTATAAAGCACTGAGCAGTTGTTTCGACCGGATTGGGTCTCATCAGCAAAAATGTGAATCCATCAACTCAACTGGGGGTCGCAAACGAGGCCTCACAGGTAGGATGCAAGCATACCAGTCATTCGATCACCTGGATGCAGCAAGATCGGTCCGTTTTACATTTTCTTTATACACCTTAAAGCACAACTCATCTTTGCGAGCTTGTTGCGGTCATCGCACCTTGCTCATTTCATCACCAGCCAGGGTTCTGGCTTGGCGAGAAACACCTAAACCCGACTACTTGTTACAAGAGAGTAGTGGAGAATTATAAACGGGATTTCCTCGTGCAAATATCTCATTGATAATAAATGCATTTCTGAGCAAAAACTTGATTCGGCCCCAATTCAGTTTTTCTGGTCTAACAGTGGTTTTCTGTGTTAGACCTTACGAAGAAACTGGATTTATGAAAAATAATGGTTTTATTTTGTGGGTTCTGTTGGACGGTGGTGGCCCGGTGGTGACGTCCCCAAAGTAGCACCCCGGAGGACACGTGTTCGAATCCCACCACCAACGCCGTCTGATTGTCCCCACTGTGTCCCATTGCAGCCCTTTGATTGGCCGCCTACCCCTTCATGAAAATTGTATTGTTCAATGTATTTAATAAAAGCAAGTATAAAGAATAAAAAGAAAAGAATGACACTGTAACTTAGTAGTCAGAAAGCACTAGGTAACATTAGTCACAAAAGAGATGAGCCTTCACTGTCTTCAATTTAAGAAAACATGGGAGTATAGTCCTAGAATACAATGCATTATGAAATAGCATAAATAAAAGTCACTGATAATGTTTTCTTGAAAAAAAATATGAACGAAATGATTTGATGGATACTTGTAATTTTACCCATCTTCGTAGGTTTACACAAATTCATCAATTCATAAGGTGAAAGCAAAATTCGAGGACTGAGGGAAGCTAAACACTAAACTGCCGCTCTGTTGACTAGGGTATACTAAAAGAAAAGCGTAAATCCCGAAAGTCTACGATTCGCGTTCAGNTGTAGTGCGTACGAGTTGCATAGTGCGTGTGTGAGTAGCTTGTGTCGGTTCTAAATGATTATCATCGTATTTTTGCACCCGAGTAAAACAACACTAATCAGAGGGATGCTTGAGTCAGGCACCCAAACCGAAACAGAAACACCGAATTTTATTGTCCCTTCTTCTTGAAATTTTCCTCTCGATGAGAAAACAACCCCGATCAAACCTTAGCACTTTCCCAGTGCGAAAACAAAAATCGCATTCATCAATGCGGATAAGGGTTTCTGTAATGGCGTTGTTTTTGTTGGTCGTGGGGGGGGGGCGGGGGGNTGGTGATGTTTGAGTGGTTGAAGTCACCGACTTATGACACTGGAAGGCGAGTGTTCGAATCCCACCCCCACAGCCTAAATATTCCCTTCTAAGTATGTCACCAATTGGCGCCTTAATGGTTGCAGCCCAGGCCTTCCTGGAAGTTATTGTATATCTTTGTGTTTACTAAATGGAAGAATAATATTATTAGCATAAAATGAAAAGAATGTGAATGAAGTTACACATATATAGAGGAATAAGACGGAAATGTATGGAGATGTATAATCAGAAAATATATGTGCCAATGACTTATATGATCAGTCATCGAGAAAACTAGTACTCGAATGCAGGACATCATAGGCGTGCCAACCAGTATGCCCACGTAGCAGCTGACATACAGATATATGAAACACATGGGCACAGACACTCGATCAGAAAGTGAGGTTCAATCTGCAGGAAAACGGACAACAACTGTTGTATTCTTCTGATCCGTCCCGGAAACCAAATGACTACTTTCTAATATCATATATATACTCCACTGTGGTTTTGACCTGAGACCGAACGCAGGCAACAACCAAGTGTCATAAATCTGCCGGATCAGTCAGCAGCACGTGCTGTCACCATTCTCATTTCACTTACGGAAAGCGAATTATTTGTTCGTCATTCGCCCACCTCCCACATATGCGATGATCCGAGCGTGTCTCCCTCCTCCCGGTTTTGTGATTCCATATTCATCCGCATCTGCTTTCTTTCTTCTTGCCCTTCACACATTTTCTCTATTCAGCTACTAAGTTAGACTTCGTCATAGTTGAAGCTTTTAACTCAGTATGTCCGAGGGAAACTAACTCGGTCCCAAGGCTTTAAGTTACGAATTCCACTGGTACTTTACTTGTCAGTATGGAGCCCTTCCTTGCAGTACTCTGACCGTTTGCATGCCGAAATTCTACTACACACCTGTGTGCTGACAGTAGGCCAGGTAATTGATTGCCCATACCAATATTGAATAGTCTAAAAGCAACACTGACCAGTGTGTGTATGCGACAGGTCGCAATTCAGCGGCATTCGACCGTCATTTGTGTACCCTTTTTGGTTCCAGAGCTTCCCCCCGGAAGGTATAGTGGTATTCGCTTCGCAATTACATACACATCAAACAGGTACGAAAGTGGTCACGTATCACATGCGTGGGTCTGAACGACTGAAGGATTTGCATCGGGACAATCACTATTCGCCGCATTTTCAAGAAATCCGTCTGATAGATGAACTGACTCGTGTCAAACCAGTGAGTATGCATATCAGTCAGTTGTTATTTTTTAAGATGTAGTGTGTGTTGAAACATCCTAGAACATCATTAGCTTCCAATTTTTACATGTGTATCGTGACATTTCAAGAAATCATTATTTTTAACTCCATTAACTCTAATATGCACCAATATAAACCGAAATTTGTTTAAACTAAGGCACTTCAGTTGTTCAACTTGATCAGTTTTTCAAACCAGCCAAACCGATTAACCTACTCCCCGGTTTGTACAATGACCTGCTTACATATTTACTGGGCGGGTCCCTTTTTGCCGATCTAATTTCTCTATCACACAAACACTCAAATGCTAACATATAATCCTTTATTGGTGGCTGGATTAAGTGCCTTGCTAGTCCATCACCTACTTATCGGGATCCAGACTTGACTATCCATCCCCAGGTATACTTCATCACTTCTTGATGTACCAATTACCTTTCCACCAATTCCAAGCTATCAAACAATGAACTGACTCCGAAAATTCGCCAAGTTCAGTGGAATGGCAACACAACTGGTATCCTGTGACCTTGGTTCGGGGTTGTACCTCTAGCGATTATGATCCTTTGCAGTAGTTGATTTGGTACTCTGTGGTAGACCGTTTGGAACTGTTGCCTGGTTCCACAAGTGGGTCTCGCTTCCTTTCACATGCATACTATCAGCCCGGACAAGATTTAGGCAGTCCAACTACGCTAGCCTGATTCTGACCGCTTGACGAGAACTGGACGAAGAAAGCAGACCTTAGCACAGATTATCCGAACCCACAGAAACCAATCATCTGCTGAGCTTCCACCTGCGTACTTCGTTGAAAAGCAAGTCAGTTACAGTACAGAAGAATACGCACATGGATTCTTTGAGCATAGATCGATGACACTGACAAAAATATGAAAGCCAGAAACCAAGTCCATGGGAAAAATTGAAACACGAAATTTCGGGTGAATTATTGAATTTCACGATCATGTGTTAGATATAAATTAAAGAAAACGGGTTAATGGTCGAAGGAATTAGGTGTAAGACCTCATCACTTTTTCCACGAGACAAAAGAATACAAGAAGAAATAGAGGGTGGTAACATACAATAGTGAGGACCTGTAATTCGATGAGTAAACAGAATCCATCGCAGATTACAAAGCGATTGCAGTTCCGGAAGCTAGAAGGGTAAACACTTTCGTTTTTCAACACAAAATCGATCGTGGGAAAACTTTTTTAAGTTACCGTCTGCTGTGACCCCTTGGTGTTCTACAGAACTCACTCCGGATGAAGTTTCATCACTCATTACCACACTTTTAGTGAGTCGAAGATGGTGCAAAAGACGGACTGTGTACTTCACACAGATTTGTATTTATATTTAATCGAAACTGAGATAAACAAAGTTGAATTGGCGTCCAATTTGAGGATAATTGAAGAAATACGGAGGGACTATAGTAGATGGCTTTTCACTTGGAGTAGTTTAGAACCTGAGGAACAGACGTGACAGGTAGACTATTTATTTAGTCAGAACGGAGGTTGCGGGGTGAACGCGCACAGTACTCTGTACTACTCCCTAATCGTTGATTCACGTTTTGAAAGTTATTCTGTTGAAATCTATAAACCACTCTCATTTAGTAAAGCAAATGAATAATCATGGAAGTAAGCGTCCCGGACGATCAAAGGAATCAATTCAGTTGACGATCTGCAAAGAAAGAAAGAAAGAAAGAAAGAAAGGTCAGAAATGGTCAGGATCCGAGAATGTGCCTCGTTTTGGGGATGAGAAAAATGTGAACGGGTTTCTAACAGTTGAGACACACGCGGTGTGAAAGAGATTGAGTGAAAATCGATGGGATGGTTTTGGGGGCCTAGTGGTTTGGATGTATGTAGCGAACGCGGTGCTAAGTGGATATTACAGGTTGTGAATTTGGCACAAACTGTGAGATCATGATAAGTAGTAGGTGGAGGAGGAGATAAGATAGAATTGAAAGTAAAAGGGAGAGAAAATAGCCTAGCCCTCTGAGAGGGATCTGAGAACAAGAACTGGAAGTATTCCTAACCCAGAGGAGTGGACGAAAGGTAAAAAAATACGGAAAACTACATTGATCATGGACCAGAATGAGGGTCTATCACAAGAAAATTAGCCAGTCTGTGTTTGGCTTCTTGGACAACTATAGAGCATTTTCCCGGGCTTGGCAGCGACGAGAACAGAAATTTGTGTTGAAACGTTTTGTTTCTCACACTGACTGCGTCAGAAAAATCTTTTGCAAATCATTCAGAGAAGTGTTGTTCGCGTGTCAAAACAGTGAGGAGCAATATGGGTGGGTCTTGAAAAGCGATTCCCAATATATTCCCTACTGAACCGGATTGGTCGGGAGAAAAAGTAAAATCATATTAGGACTGGGAATCCAGAACGTCACGTCAGAACGTGGAGTTGATTCAATCGGAATTCTAGCACCACTGCTAGAAGAAAATAACAGACTGAGTGTGAAAATCAAAGATGATAAAACAATAATCCAGTGCAACAGAAAGGTTAATTCGGAGATAAATCCTCGAATGGTGAAGAACTGAAAGTTCATGGTAAATCAAGGTAGTGGATGCTCTTTGTTGTATGGTCGGAGACACGGGTGGGAAGGTGTCCAACTGTGACAGTCTGTTGACAATGATAAACACTTGCACACCACGAGGTCTATGGAGTTTTATTCTACTAAATCGCCGATTTTTAGGTTAAAATAACCCACAATTTCACCATTAGTTTGCCATCATCTTTTTATTCTTCCTGCAGGGTGATACCTTGATCACACAATGCACACATGATACAACCAAGAAAACTCACGTTCTGTTTGGAGGATTGAGCAAGGTGAATGAAATGTGTCTGAACTACATCTTCTACTATCCGAAAACGGAGTTGGAACTGTGCAAGTCGGAAGTCTCACAACCGGAATTGGATGAATTCTTGCAAAACCTAGCCAGGTGAGCTGTTTTGCCGGTTCACTGAATCTTCCTCATTCTGTATGGAGGAAATTCAAAAAAGACCGAGTTTCATGTGTGTTCTTTTTTAAATGCATATGATTTATTGTCGAAATAGTCCCCCCACGGAGCACAGTTCAAACAAAACAACAGAGTGGTGAATAAGCTCGTTTTCAGATATTCGCGTTCATGCCCATATATCTGAATATATTTCACTCCTTGGGAATCAAATTGGGAAACTGAAATAAAATCACAGATTACTAGAAACGATTTCATCAGGAGAAGGAAAATCGGATTAAACCACGATAACAGAGTTGTCTGTCTACTCATCCGATCATCGAGATTAATCGTGTTACGGTGTGCGTGAGAGATGGATAACGGAAACTTTAGGGTCAAAATCATTCCAGATAATTCTAGTGTCACTTCACAATAGATAAAAATAGCAGATTATCTGAGAACTGAATTAAGGGTGCAATTTATATTCTCCCGGTCATAGAATAAAAAACTATTGATAAAAGAGTTGTGGTAAGAGTTCAGTGTAGAAGGACATGGAGTACGGAAAATGGAAGTGGAATGTGAAGAAAACAAAACTAAAGTAGACAAGCTCATCACACCTAATAGTATGAGAAAAATAATTTTTCATTTCACTTTTATTTTCACTTCCTTTTATTTAGTATACAAGGGTGTAATTTTCAGGAAGAGGGAAGCGACCAATCAAGTGGCTGTCATACAACACACACAAATGGGGAAAGTCAGGTGGTGGTGGTGGTGGTGGTGGGAGTCGAACACACGCCCTCCGGGGTGATAATTGGTGACGTTAACAGCCGGCCACCACCGGTCGCAAGTCTGATGGCGAGTCAGAAACTGCAATTTGCCGGAGTTTGTTTATTCCACCTTGGACTTTCTCAAGGGGTAAAACGGAGAAGGCCATGGGACTATCAGTAGCACGTAACCTCATCATTCAAGCGCGGCATGAAATTTGGATTTGCGCAGTAACTGACACAAGTTGTGGCCAAGACCGGCCCAGTGTGTTAAGCAGTCAGTAATCAATGTAAATGACTGAGAATGAACAAACATTCCGGTCGGAGGAAGAACTCAACGGGCAAAATCGGGGTGATCGAAATAACTGAAATTTCAGTGAGATGGGGGGGGGAGCGTAATTTCGAGAGAGAAACCGTAAAAGCTCTGACACAGCTGTGGTGCAAAACCATAGACCGAGAGTCTTGAAAGAGTCCATCAATATCCGATATGACTCCCAGTGATTGTGATTTCCATGGCCCTCGGCGAATAGCCTATGAGTGGCGAAATGCTCGCATCACTGGTTCTCAATTCAGCTACTATTTATTCAACTTCAGCCGAGTAGTCATCGACACTGTGACATCCTGCGAACTTCGTTTCAATTTCAGTTTATAGTCTAGCGTTTGTTATGAATAACACGGTAACCTTTTGTCCAGTTGACTGAATAGAAAAAGAGGTATGATGTTCGAATCAAATATCGGTAACGGCGTTCACACAAAAAATGTACGACTATTGGGAGTAGAAAAATACATCTTTTTCAAATTAAGTCCTTTCACAGTGATAAAAATGATACATGTGGGATGCATAACCGATGTAACCGAATATCGGATAAAGGATCAGTCTCTTTGAAGAGGTTATTGAACCCACAACCGAAAAACAGATTGTATATAAAGTGCTTATGACGTATCAGGAAACATCCGGAGAATTTGCATTGATCGGATCGTTTTTGAACAAATGAACAACAGTTTGTATGTGAACATATCATCAGTTATGTCTGCATGGAAGCGCCGTTTTGGTGGGATGCTTTAAATCAGGCGGTCCAAACGAGTTGATTGGCCTTCTTTCCAAACGAAATGGGGACAATCAGCCTCGGTTTGCCCGCCCGGTTCGTACACTAGCAACAGTGATCGAAGTTCGAACCCTTGATGACCCGATGGATGCGCACTAGTGATGAGCTATCAAAAAGATTAGAACTCGACTACTCGACTATATAGTAACCTTGATGAACTGAGAGCTATATGTGCGTGTGTGTGAGGAATGATCGGTCAAAATGTAAACTGATTTCCTCCATATGATCGAATATGATAGCTTCTCAATCCACAGATTGCCAAAAGAAAAAGCAGACAATGTTATTACTGGAATATAGACCAAAAGTTATAAGTATTTTACCGTCCTTGAATGCCGGTCGAGCAATGCGGCCTGAGAGATCACTTAACTGATTGGCATCAAGCACGGGTGTAAACAAATTGGATTTCATGAAAACACTCCCTGTTCAATGCTGATGGGAACACATGTGTTAGTAAGCAAGCTTGTTTCCAGGGCCGCATCGACTGCATGAATACAGCGCATTTTATAGTCGATCACATGTGGTGAGAGGAGACATATAATTGAGAAAAAAATGAGGTGATGTGTTTGTCATAATTGGTATACATGTTGCTTTTTGTGTGTGAAAGGTGAGTGGGTGGCAGTATGGTTGTGAATAAGTGAGCGCGTGAATGAATGAAAGTTTACGGATGCATCGTTACGTCAGAATATTATAAACGGGTAGCCACAGAAACATTATGCCTACCATTTATCACAACCATATCATCTCATTCTGAACTCTTCGTTCTTTCTCAATAGTGCATCTCACTCTCATAATCTGTTTCGTCTACTGTAATATATGATGCATTCCGTCAGTCAATGAAGCATCGAAAATAAGTCTGTTCGCTAAGCTGTATTCTCATATGATCATCGTTGCTCTAGGAGAAGTGGATCGTAATTATTCTTGGAAATAATGTGGAATGATTGTAACTCGGGATGCGGATGTGGTTGTTGGTGTGTTCTCCGAGCTGATCAGTACACTGATGAAGTTGCCCAGTCTGGCCACGAAACTTCCGTGGAAAACATTTTCAGCTCGGAGAATGCACCAACAACAAGGTTATTATTATTGTCCAATCGTAGTTTGGTTTCGACAACCCCCAGTTTTGTCCGGACAACCAATTGGTAATGCAAATCTGGCGCTGCGGTTAGGGCATTAACGTGTGAATGAAGTGAAAATGAAATGTCTTTTTACTTCCTTTTTCTGTTTATTGAATATACAAATGTACAGTCAGCTTTCAGGAAGGGGGCTGCAGCCATACAGAAGCTGCCTGGGGGAAAAATACAGATATAGGGAAGACGGGCGGCGGTA